GGTATGAGAGTTTAGGCTCCGCGGGGGCAGCAAGAGGTATGCTATAAGTCAACTTACTATACACCACCTTATAACTAACTCACACGGACCTTAGAGAGAGAAGCGCAGAGAGCTCGGAATGCGTCCAATTCTAGCGCTGCTACACCTTTCTGCCATTCGTTTGATCTGACAAAAAGATTGTCCCCTGGCGACGTGAAGGGCCAGATCGGCTTTCACCAATCCATGGCTATCCCTATTCCAAGAACCCAACCGACCTCTCCATTTAAGCTTTTCATACAAGACCTATCATCGAAGTTGGCCAATTCTCCACCGTCATATGTTCATCGTGTAATAGTCCCCAACCTCTTGTCCCCGACCATGTACTCGAGCTCGTCTTCCTTTCCTCAGGAAGTACTACAGTTCTTGCACGCTCTAAGGGCTTTGCTGAGGCAGTATCCCAAGGTTCTGACTGCAATTCTAACCCTACCTCTCTCCCTTTACCCTCGGACGACAGGGCTCACACGATGGATGGAATTACTGTGTGATGGTGTGCTTGAGTTCATACCGCTGCAATCTACAACTATCCATAAACCCCCACCATCTTCTAAGGGTGAGGGGAAAGATGATGAGAAAGTCCAAGGCCTGGTTAAAGTCCACAGTCTACCGATTTTCCATGAGAAAGGAGGCGGATCGCACTCAGCACTAGATGACCAATCTTTCAGCCTTAGTCGGTCCAGGGGGCTGATAATCAAGCCCTTTTACCTCCCTCCAGCTGACAGCGATGAGAATGAACCCAAAGGAGGGGATTCCGGAAAGCCAATCATGGATTTCTGAGGGCCGTATCAAGCTTCTAATCATGAAACAAACTTCCAAGGTTGCTTACCTAGGTAGACGGGAACCTTGGAACTCACCAGCACATGTGCATCTGCATCATGGTAAATATATGTTATAGTTGCATAAACGGGTTATTGCATATTCATCTATATACACCAAAGTGCAGGTGGACTCGGGAAATCCATCCCGAGGTCCCCACAGGCATACGCCCCCCAAAACTTTTCTCCAAATCTAAGCCAGACCAAATTTCTTCTCAACATTCAAACCAGAACAGCAGGTGAGTAACGGAATATTACCCTTTCACACACACTCTCTCTCTACAATGATTACACCCAATTAATATCTGTCAATCCACTGAATACAAATTTCTGTTGATAACATCTATATCTGGTTTTTTTATGATCGTACACCTATTTGCTCAATCATTCGCAAGCACGGGAGAGTTCATCAACTAACTATTTCCCAGACAGCGCAGTTGCGATTGTGATCATGGCCTCCACGTCATCCCATGATCGCCCTCTGGTGAGGATATCAAAGGTTGCCGGGAGATATTTGCTGTTCGACATAGACGACGTGATGTATTTACGCAGGAACTACAACATTTGCTCCGTCTTCGTAGGGACCATCCCCCAGAACCCCCAACAGAACGTTTTCATGGGACTCCCTTTGGAGCTTATGCCCGAAGAAGTACAAGTTTTGGTCGAGAAGAATGCAGCCTACGTCGCTGATGACGTAACGTTCCATCCAGCACGACTGGCGGCGTTCGACGAGACAACACGACGGGCATACCTACAGTCGCTTAAAAGTCAGGGTAAGAAGATGCAGATGGCTATGATCGAGAGCAACAATCGCAATAAACCAGTTCTGCAAGAGGCGAAATCGAAAAAGAAGAAGAAGGAGCGGGACTCATCTGCCAATAAGTCTGTCGGTGGTGACAACGAGGCAGATGAGAGTCCTAGTGTCTTCGACTCGACACCTACACCACCCAAACCAGCCAAGGACTTACCTGAGGAGGTTGAGGGTTATGTGCTCACACCCACTACTAGCAGTTTTCTTTTACCATCCCCACCAAGCTCAAAGCCAGAGTCCTCGGTTGCTGTAGATGTCCCCGTGTCCTATCCCTTGTTTGCTCACTTGCACGATAAGGGATATTATATGATGCCTGGCCTTCGCTTTGGCTGCGACTATAACGTGTACCCGGGTGACCCTCTGCGCTTCCACAGTCACTTTGCCGGCGTCCACTTCGGGTGGGATGAAGAAATCACAATGATGGATCTTGTCGGAGGCGGGCGACTTGCCACTACTGTCAAGAAGGGATATCTTTTCGGCGGAGCTGTAGCTAACACTTCCGGTATTGAAGGGGCTAGCGACAGTCATACTGTATCGCGTGATGGAGAGAATGAGAAGCCTAAATCGAGGGGTGGGCCAGTAGCGCCACCGGTTAGGACATTTTGTCTAGAATGGGCAGGCATGTAGCGATGAACTGGATAGCGCTAGGCCATAGGAAATTATCACTGATACCCATTGACTGGAACTGTCCTTAAAGCAATAACTTTTTCAATGACATATTCGCCCATCACTCCATTCTATGAAAACCGAATCAGTTCGCTGGTACATTACTCGTTTGAGCTTGTATCACCGCAACAGAAAAGCATGATGTATGATGCGGCGGGAAGTCCCGTTACTTAGACTGCGAAGAAACTTTCGCTACTGTTTTTATTTGAAGTCCTCGAGCAAACACCTCACAGCAATGCTCTTCAATTTTCATTTGCAGTATTCATGTTCTATGTCTGGGCATTCTGGTTTACCATGGATGAACATAGCTTGTAATAGCTTGCAATAGCTGAAATCCTCGTCGATAACCGGCAGCGCCAAGATTGCAACGAAGGGATATGATTCGCCACCATTCCGAGGCGAGTGCGCAATTGTTTCCTTATAAAGCTTCCGAGGCTGCAGGGGTCTACTGGTACACGAGATACGACGTCATTATCCCACGTCTGCCACTTAATCCCATTACCCTCCTTCGAGATTAAGTTCAGGACAAGATCTCTACACAATCGCTAGTCGCGTTCCCAATGAGACGCACTAAAAACTAAATACAAAATGTCTACGGATAATAAACAAACAGCCGAAATCTCCATCCACGACATAGGACCACCGCCCGTGGAGGAAGACTATGTGAACCCTGCAAACAAGAGTCCCCGTTGGCTCCTAGGCGCCCACGCTTTTACCCTACGTTTTCTAGCCAGCTTCGGTTTCAGTATTGGTAACCGTTCAGGTCTACCTGCACCGCCTCCTACAGAAACAATATGGCTAGATTCCACACTGAGTGAGTGGAAAGGCAAGGACGCGATCAGCACAGACGTATGGATACCTCCCAAGAGCTCGCAGTCGTCTGGCACTGAGAAGAGACCGGCGGTGATCAATTTCCACGGCGGTGGGTTTATACTGGGCCGCGGAACCGATGATTCGCGATGGGCCAATGCGCTCGTCAAAGGGTTATGCGCGGTAGTCTTCTCGGTCAACTACCGTCTGGCGCCGGGCTATCCATTCCCAACGCCGGTAGAGGACTGCACCGACGCCATTGTTCAGATATTTCAGCTCGCAGACCGATACAACATCGACACGGATCGCATCATACTCTCCGGCTTCTCTGCCGGCGGGACTCTGGCTACGAGTAGTTGGATCGTCCTACAAGACCCCGCAAGGTGGAACTACGAAATACCAACACCGATACCCAAAATCGCAGGCCTTATCCTCTATTACCCCCCGCTCGACTGGACGTTAGACAGATATCAGAAACGAGCTGCTTGCAAGCAACCGGATCTGACATTGCCTAGCGGCTTGACAGACCTGATCGATGCGTCGTACCTGCATCCCCACCTTCCACGGCGCGAGCGAACCGATATACGACTGTCGCCGGGGCTGATGCCCGATGAGCTGGTAGACCGACTGCCGCCCGTCCACTTGTGTCTCTGCGAATACGACATGCTCCTTGCTGAAGGCCAGCTGTTTAGTGAGAGACTCGAAAAGCGCGGCAAGAAGGTCAGCGTCCGTGTGGTTGAGGGCGAGAAACATGCTTGGGATAAGCCCTTGCCGCTAGGCCCGAAAAGTTCTGTTGCATTTGAATACGATATTGCGATAGCCGCCGCGAAGAGCTGGCTAGAAGGGTTATAAGAACTTACTAGATTGGGCGGAACGCCTTCAAAGCTGCTTCCGTTCGCAACAGCCACAGACCCGATTAGAACGATGATACCCAGAAACGTACACAACCTGTAATGACTCGAGTCATCCACAAAGGCCAGTCCATAGCGGAAAATGGCACCCCGAGAGATAATGACACCGCCCCGGGCATGAACGCCACCATGCCGCGATGAAGGATTATGGCACTTAAACACACAACATTCCCGACACCGGCGACCCGGATCACAACCACACGGTTAACGTTTGAGCATTTACACACAACATGCCATGTAAACAACACCCATACCAAAGAACACTACTACCCGGCAGTCTACGCTATGACAACCAATCCTGTCAGAAACTACCCAGTTTGGTCGCCCGCTTCCCACAATAGTGCAGAGATCAGGGACATAGAGTTCTATTTCAAAATACCTTCGATTCATAATGGAGGAGCTGGGGCAATCCAACAAAGCAACAGGAAAGAAGCTATATACGCCTAGAGCCTCAAGAGATTCCATTAGTTGGTCGCAATAATAAAGGGGGACTGGATGCAGATATCTAAACGTTGTCATGTAGAGAACACTATCAGATTAATATAGCATTTAAACATTCAACAGGACATGTAATTTGAATTTAAATCACTCTCTATAGAATATGGGAGACCATGGTGTAATATAGGTATCCAAGTACCTACATCACTTTTATCATAATGTTCGTCTTATTCAAATGCAGCAACAATCCGTTATATACCTTTTAGGTTTATGATTTGATTTTTACTAAGAAAAGCTACAAGAATAAGAAATATAGGAAGTATTTTAGATCTTAAAAAAATCCTCAAAGCTCCTATCCTAACACCATTGACCGGAGAGTCCCCCCTCCAGCGTTTCATGGTGGGGAGACGGCGGGGCGGCGGCGTCGGGAATGCATGCCGCGCAAACTAGGACCAAGCTTCCGGGACGACACGCAAAAAGGAAGAGCCAACAGGAAAAGTTGCATGAGCAAAAAGCTGTTGCCCGGGTTCGAACCGGGGACTCGGGAAGTTGATGATTGTCTCGATGACCTCTGGTCAAAATCCCACGTGCTAACCACTACACTACATCAGCTCCGACACTAGTGTTCAGATTGCTGTTGTGAACGGCATTGCTTTAGGCCAGCTTATGACCTCAAACGCTCCCCCCGGCATAGTGAATTTGGTAGCACAAAACGTCACAGCATAACACAATTGTCTCCTCTACCTCATTTCGCAGTCCTATTGCCGAGGAAGGGGAAATTCGAAATGATAAAACGAAGACTTGGTTTCCGTCCACACTATGTGGAAGGGGAAAATAGGACATGTCGGAGTGGTATTGTTCCGTTGTTGGAAAAGCACCGTATGGCCCATACCTAATACATGCCTTACCACATGCTATTTGGCTTTCAATGTCGTCAATGTTGTTATCTGTTTTCTCCGGGAAGCCGAAATCTGACGCAAAAGTGCTCTCACATGTCGTCGTCTATCCGTTCACGAGCGACACGGAGGAGTTCGGGGGTCTTATCTTAGTAACTCGGCGGGGCTGGATAAAGAGGGAGCGGAAAAGGTCTGGCGGGGTCGAAGATCCCACCTCCGCGCCATGGCGACATTTGTACACCTTTGCTCCGATATCGAATGCAGGTACCGTATCAGTCTTGTTTAAGCAGTCTGCATCCGCTGTAGGCAGCCAACCTGCTATTAGGTCGTATTTCCTTTATTTCGTTCATTGGTCCGCCGTGAGTCAGTGTTTTGCGAGGTACTTAGCGAACCTATTCGTCCGTTAATTCATCCTATATGCCCCTCCATCGCACCGCAACCTCAATCCATCGCACGCTACGCACACTCCTCAGCAGACCAGCCGTACCAGGATCCCGATCCAGCTTGCACTTCCCTCTCCAGGATAGCCTTCTAACCCCTAAAATCGCATCGCGCACCATGGCCTCGGCAGTCGCAAAGCGCCTCGCGGGCAAGACGGTGCTGATCACGGGCGCGTCCTCGGGGATCGGGCGCAGCACGGCGTTCGAGTTCGCGCGGACCGCCGCCGCCGCCGGGGGTCTCAAGCTCGTCCTCACGGCGCGCCGCGTCGACACCCTGAAGCAGGTCGCCGCCGACATCGCGGCCGAGGTCGGCGAGGGCAACGTCAAGGTGTTCCCCGTCCAGCTCGACGTCAGCAAGCCCGATGAGGTCCGCAGCTTCGTGGATAAGCTACCCGAGGAGTTCAAGGAGGTCGATGTGCTTGTGAATAATGCGTGAGTCATGAACTTTCCTCTCAATGGTCTACTTTTCTATCTATCTATCCGGTGTACCTGTGGGGGAAAAGCATGTGTTCGAACATGCAAAAGGTATGTTAAACTAACATGAAAACATATACAGCGGTCTCGTCAAAGGCGTAGCCAGGGCGCCCCAGATCGCCGAGGAGGACGTGGCCAGCATGTTCAACACCAACGTGACAGGCCTGATCAACATGACGCAGGCCATCCTGCCCATCTTCTTGCGCCGCCCCAACGGCGGCAGCGGCGACATCATCAACATCGGCAGTATCGCCGGCCGCGAGCCCTACGCCGGCGGCAGCATCTACTGCGCCACCAAGGCCGCCGTGCGCAGCTTCACGGATGCCCTGCGCCAGGAGCTCATCGCTTCGCGCGTCCGTGTGTTGGAGATCGACCCTGGTCAAGTTGAGACGGTAGGTGCTATCTTATTTTGGGCATTCCTTTTTCTGGGGAAAACTGACAGTCTGCATTGACCCGGAGGACGATATGCTAATGTTAATGCAGGAGTTCTCCGTTGTTCGGTTCTATGGTGATAAAGCTAAGGCTGATGCCGTATATGCGTGAGTTGTTATCTGTCCGGGGATTAGGCGCGCATCTTGCTAATGATGTTTCTAGTGGCGTTGACCCTTTGACTCCAGATGACATCGCTGAGGTGGTTGTATTTGTCGCTGGAAGAAGAGAGAACGTTGTGATTGCCGATACACTCATCTACCCCAACCACCAGGCTGGTGCTGGAGTCATGCACAGAAAGTCGTAGAAGAGTTGTAAATATGCCGTTGTATTCATTTTATAGACAGTATATTAACAAGACAATTCTACAAGGACTATAGGACATGATCAAAATTTCTACGATATCTTTGGTGGTGGTCACGGGTTCAAGTGTCTACCCCCTGTAGTCTTACCTTCCACAGGTGCTATTTTCTGGGACGGTGGAGGAAATTTCGAGGAAACCTAGTATCACGACAGGTTAGCTATGTCACAATATCTGCTCGGCTTGAAACGTGGTGTAACAGCTTTAATTCAGCAAACCAGGTTACTCATTCACATGTGTCGGCTCTCCACCCCATACCTCAAGACGAGGCATGAAATGAAAAACACGGAAGCCAGCATGACACTGCCAACTGCTCTAGCACGAAGCACGAGCAGTATGATAGAAACTCCACAACCAATCATCACTGACCCAGAAGGGCCAACTCCGGTGCGGGAGGGTGGCTCGACCCATTGTGAGATAGTTGAATGGATAAACAGTTTTCATCATGATAGAAAATACGGATAGATGGAAGATGGCTTACCCATTCGGCGTCAGTGCGCGATATAAATACTCAAAACGACATGCAATGTCATTTTATATCTGAGCGATGGTCAGTTACTTGTCCCATGGCAAAAGTCGTTGAAGTGGATTGGGTAAGTGTCATTAAATCAGAGTAAATTTTTGGTATATGGGTTTCTTCATTATGTTCAGAAGCAGAACTGAATGATGTAGGTCTCATCATATAAAGCGACGGAAAGAGGGTGGAACTTGATAGATATGATAACTCACCTACTAAAACTACCGAGGAGATAAAGGATAATTGTTGGATGTCACATGCTATGCTACTGATGTTATGGTCAGCTAGTGGTTCAAAATATTATCTTCAGCTAGACGTAGGCGGGATGGTGCTTCAGATGGTAGTGCATGTTTAGTTCAGTACGCTCAGGAGATCGCGAGAACTGTGGAAAAGAATTCATCAATAGCGACGGGATAGTAGGGTAAGAGGTGAGGCCATGTGACGGAATGATGGTTGTGTTTTCTTACCTCTACTGCATTTACTTCGAAATCGAAGACAAGATCCCAGAAGCTCCGTCCGAAGTAAAAAACCTCACCGTCAAAAATAGCGAGACAATACCTCAATCAACCAAACCTTCTCCGTTGCTGTTGGTCTCGGAGCGGTTCTCGAGGTGCTTGGGTTTAATGCTTCGGCGGGAGGCACAATGGCAGAAATGTGGAAGAAACTTGAAGGACGAGGATGCAAAATTCTGTTGAATGAAATTTAAAGGAAAAGGCTGGTCGCTGGCTGGACCTGGTTAGACAGTGGGGCCTTAACCTCAGATTGGTGCTGGCGGGGCAATCGATAAGGCACCTGAGGTTAGGTAGGTGGGCTCCGATATTCATATGCATTATTTCCGAGGTCAGCTTCAACACCCACCAAAAGCTACCTCCTCTGCTTAACGCGATTCACATTGGCCATGGCTGATCGGAGGAGGATCAATGGTCCCGTAGGAGCTACCCTGCCTCCAGTCTATGACAGCCCTCCACCACCTCAGAACAGCGCAGAGAACCCCGAAAATGCCATCCGCAAGATCTGTACGTAGCAAGCGCCACGGCGAGATTGCCTTGTTCGTCCCATCACTCGCTAATTTTTCATGCGCAGTTCTTCAAACGGGCATCACTCCGTCCGCTTCGGGATCCGCCTACCTAGAGCTTGTGAACCCCAATCCGACTGGTCCTAGCAACACAAGCCTCAAGCTAAGCTGCACTGTCCACGGTCCACGAGCTCTTCCACGATCTGCGCCTTTCTCCCCACACATCATCCTGACAACTCACGTCAAATATGCGCCGTTTGCGACAAAACAACGGCGCAGCTACCTGCGGGATTCGAGCGAGAGGGATCTTGGTGTGCACTTGGAGACTGCACTACGAGGGGCTATCATCGCAGACCGCTGGCCCAAGAGCGGCGTCGATATTATTGTTACGGTAGTAGAGGGCGACCAAGATCGCAACGCCCTTGAGAACCAACGCGATGACGGCTGGGATTCGATGAACGTGCTGAGCGGCTGCATCACTGTGGCCTCAGCCGCAATTGCCGATGCCGGTATCGACTGCGTCGACACCGTAGCCGGAGGCGTCGCAGCGCTGGTGGCCAAAGACGCAACAAGCCCACCGTCCATCGTCCTTGACCCAGCCGTTGCCGACTACCACAAGATCTACGCGGCCTGTTGCATTGCTTACCTCCCTACGCGAGACGAAGTCACGAACATGTGGTTCAAGGGCCAATTGCCCGGGGCTGATCTCATGCTATACAATAACATGGTTGAGAGATGCTTGGTTGCGTGTCGTAATGCTAACCATGTCGTCGTCACGGCTCTGAAGAAAACCATCAGTCCCGAGGAAGAGGTATCATGATCACGCCAGTTTCGGCAAATGAACGTTTCAACGGATCAGTTTTGCTGTAGGGGGGCAGCCTTGATGGCCCAATAGGCTGTGCAGCCTCATAAGCGAAAGCAGATAGAAGATGAGTCAGATTTACGCCCGGTACCATCAGCATCAAGCATGATGCGCAGAGCACACTCAACATAGTAAGCGGTGAGGTTGTGGTTCCTGGAGATCACCTTCACCGGGGCTCGAGGATATAGATGGTCTGGATGTGGCGTGGCTGAGCAGAGCAGAGCAGAGAGCTTCAATCTCGAAACCATATGAGCCTGCAGCGTGAATTGCTTGCTAGTAAAAGCTTCACCAAGAGCAGACGTTGGTCGGGTTGCTTGGCTTGAGAGCACACGAGTGAGATCCGGCGTGGAAGGTGTATGGGCCGGCCAAGTCGATATCCGGTGTCACCTTGGCAGAGTACCGTAGGTAACGAGGTATGCTTAATCTGCATGCATGCATGACAAGGATAGTCAAGATGAAATCTATGGATACATGTCAAGCCTAAACAAGAGGATAGTGCAACGATACACTGATCAGAATGGCATGTCTCAATAACATGAAATTGGGAATTTGACTGCAACCACCGAGTTAGTATCGCGTGCCTCTGTGGTGAGGTGGACACTGGCTACTGTACATTAG